CTATACGATCTTTCTTTGGAAAGTTATGGAATTTACACGAAAAGCCCTAAATGTTTATTGTCACCTCAGAGCTACAGAAAGAAGAAGGATTTTAGGACTTTTCGTGTAAATTCCATAACTTTCCAAAGAAAGATCGTATAGAGCTGGGAGATGTCTCATTTTAATCAGAATTTTGCTGGCTACAGTTGTGACTTATTGAGAAAAATTCTTGAGGATTTTTCGAGGTTTCTGGAAAACTGGTTTTTCAGAAACCGGTTAGGAAAGGTCTATAGGGAAAAACGGTTATCATATTCGGAATCAGCATGGACGATTACCTATAAGCTACCGCATGCCGAGGCGGAGGAACCGTTGAACTAGTGGGGACGATGTCTCCACAGATTTCAGAATATAAAAAAGCGTTGGAATCAAATATCGAGCGAGTCCCACCATTTTAAAGGATTTATTTCTTCGAACTTGTCACATAATAGCGGTATCTTTCACTGTTTTGTAAAAACTTCCAAGGACACGTCCGTTCTCCGAAGGAGATGAAAGTTTGAAGTTTATTTTTATCGAGAGAATCCTAAGGGAAAATGGACCTCGGAAAATGGAAAAAGACTATGTTTACATAGTCTTCATTCCTTGTTAAGAATAGGTAAGTATATTGGTAGGTAAGGCTGTAGAAATATAGTCGCGCCAGTCTTTTTACCAGCTGTTTTTGTAACGGTCACAGAGATTTTCACACTTTTTGCTCTACAGGAGCAACGCTGACAAGCTTTTTTCTCTGTTTATTACAAGCGTGTATTTGATAAACTACAAAGAAACGAAGATTAAAACCTGCTCACTTACACTCAATTTTAATGCTAATGTGTCAAAGTAGATAAAATTAGACACTTTTATGTGTAAATTACGAAAAAATATTTCAGTATTTATTTTTAGGATTCCTCAAAAAATTCATAGCTTCTCATTCTCTTCATCGAGTCTGGAGCGGGAGGGAGGGGCAGATTCAGGAATTCCGATTATTTTTTGGGTAGGGGTGCTATAGTTGTGGCGAAAAACTTATAAAAATACCTTGCGGAAAGTGATAGAGTAAAAACAGATTGATCTTTCATTTCAACTTATTGTTTGTGTTCAATCTGAGGTTGCCTCACTCTTCGTTAGGTTTATCAAGGAAATAAAGTACAAATTTTTCTGCATTTTCCGCGGTGAAAAGTCAAGGTAAAAATTTTAGATCTCCTGTGTATCTCTGTTTTCAACATTCACAACATTATGCATAATTCTACTTCGTGATGAAATTAATTTTTTTCTCTTTAACTACACAGACGGTTAAAAGTATTTATTTACTTTTGAATTCTTGAACTGTTACGTTCTTGAATTGAATAACCTAAAATTTCAAGAAATTCGGAAAGATATATTAATTCGGTAACTTAACAAATATTTAAAAGCGATGATATTCTGTGTAGGAAGAGATTACTATCACTATCAAATATACGCTCTTCAACTTCACAGCATCAAGTGATTACCTGAGTCAATCAGCCATAGAAGTACCAATTAGAATATTTAACTCTGAATAAGCATGAAGAAAAACTGTAAATAACGTTTTCTTATGTTTTGTTTCTAACTAAATCAAACTATAATTTAGGACTGGAAATGTGTAGTGTTTTCTTTGAACGTAAACACTGAAACACGTTGATGTTCCTTGAATGTGGAAACGGGTGTTCTAGTGAACATGAATTTTATTTTATATGAACAGTGTTGATCTTGTTTATACCGAGAGAAACAGCTTTCTTCATTACCAGTTATATTTAGTGAAAAATCAATGCCCATTTGCTCCCAAATGGGTTACTATAACAAAGTATGTAGTTACCGAAATGGTTTGGTCCAAGAAACTTCGGTTTCGCTCGGTTCAAGGAACGAAACGTGAACTTTTACAGGCCTACTATAATTCATTCTTGAGAAAACTATCGATAACAAAACTCAGTTTTTCAGATCAACTTGATTGTCGATCAATGTAGATTCTTAGCAAAAATAAAATTTGAATCTAAACAAAACTTTAGTTGATTAATATTAACATTAGATTTTTTATTTGAAAATTACCTTCAAAATTCTTTATCCGATTAAATTCTGGTAACCACGCTACAATAGCTCGTTCTAAAGCACGAGATGACTCATATGTTATATGTTCTTGATCATTGATAATATCCTCTTCTTCTTCATCATATTTTGTCATTGGTTTTTGATAGTAGGAATACCATTGTCCCAATGTATGAAGTGGAATAAAATTACATTCAAATTCACAATTTGGATTTGATAATAGTCCATTGAGTGAAGACATTATTTCACATGGACGACCAGAATAGGGTCCAAGAAACAATCGACATTGATCATAATCATTTGCATGAATATTATCCCAAATGATTACACGACGTTTTAATACTTTATTCACTTGTTCAATATGATCAAGATCAATACGACGAGAGATAACTTTGGGTCCTAAAAACCATATACAATTTGTACATCATGAACGAAAAACAAAAGAAAATGAGTAAATATTTAGTTACCTGTCCAAAAAATGTCAATATCAGATAATAATCCATTACCAATTGTTTGTAAATATTGTGATTTTTCTAGACACGGTTTAGCCATATTACTACAATATTCTAAACAAAATTAAGTGAGAAAAATTAAAAGTAATGAAAAAATCTAAAAATATGAGAGTGAACACGAACTTTTACTCTAAAAGTTAAGAAAACATAGGTTTTTTAGTGACTCAAATTTCGATAAATAAACATCCGAAAAGTGTATGCTATCCTTCCAGCTCAAATTTATTTTGAATGGAT